ATATATGTGGGATCGGTTTATTCGATGTCCATCGAATACGATCGGGCGCGAACGGGCGAGCGGGAAACGCGGACAATTGGCGCCAAGATAATTCGGCGTTACTACGAGTTGGCGCGAAAATTAGCGAGGGAACAAAGAAGCGATTAGCAATTGTTTCGTTTTACGCGGGAATTGGTAACGAATAAGGAAAACGGCGTGGCGTCGCGGGACAGTCCAGTCGTAACCGTTGAAGTAACACGTTGTCCGAAAAGTTGCAGCCTAAGTGTTTGTATTTGTTTTTTATATTCCTATTGATTCTTATACCCTTGTTAAATTATTAAAATTATTGTTATTCCCAAAAAACTTTTTAATTCCGTCAACCTCGATAATTTCCGATCCTACATTAATGTTGAAAAGTTTCATCTAGTTTTCAAAGTTGTATTCATGAATGGACCAATGTTTCATTATATAAACCGATAATCTCGTGATTATCTGACAGTTGAAATTAGTTATAAACACCCGGTGTCCATTATAGTTCATCGTAAGTCCACTAATTGGATCAGCTGGACATTGTGTCTTTCAATTTCCTTCTTCATAAGCTGTACGAGGATACCAGAATGACGTCTATTAAGATCCTAGCAATAATAGCAGCACTATTTATTATAATTTCATTATCAAATTTTTGCATGAATACTAGTAATACTGTTCTAACAGAATGTGCACTAGTGTACACTATGCAAATGAATTTAACATTTATTCAAATAAAGAGTGCAACTTCTTCTCATTTTCTACTATTTATGTAATCAACTGTAATGGGGTCCTGTAAATGCTCTATATATTATTTATAGGTATTGTATTACATTACAAATTGTCTCATGTTTTAGTTGTGAAACGCTGTACGTAACTGTATCGAAGTATTTAACCAAACCTAACCATTGTAACAGAAACGTAAATTGCAAATATAAGTCTTAAAATTAATATTTCAAGAAATATTTCAAGAAATCTCAGCTCAATAAAAACAAGAGGTGTTGTTATGTATACAGTGCACTGTATTGTACAAATTAGTCCACGTATCAATGAGATGATGTTCTTATACCACCTGTTGAGAACCGCTATTTCACGATAACCATTTGTTAAATGCATGCGATCGGGGCTCTAATGCTGTCGTGATACTTTACTGATATAATTTACATAATGTTACGACTGAGATATTAGACGTCACAATTTATGTGAGGTTATGAAAGAAATATTTTTCATATATCAGTGATCGATATTTTTTCAGTAAATGTTTATTGGGTGCTTTGGACGAAATATTCTGTCTCCCTTAGTTTTTAACTCGATAAACCCCGCGTTGACAAAATAGCGGCAAACATTGTTATTCTTATAAACTTTTAATTTAGAAATTGAATGCTGTAACAAATTCGTGTAAAGTTGAAGATTATACTTTGTAGCTGTGAAATTTGATCAATGAGACGCTACGAGATATACATTTTCATCAACGAACACACAACGGTTGAACTCCATTTCGCACACGCGTGCGTCGTTTATTGTGAACGCATTAAAGAATTTTATTAAATTTTCAGTAGAAAGAGAAAGAAAGGTAGGAAGTACGTATTTCAATTCATTAACACACGATTTTTCATTTAATATCTGAATGGAATTTAATTCACTATTATACGTTTTATTATCACGCTCCACAATAGTCTCGACGTCTAGAAGCATTACCTTTATCGACTCGCGAATAAATATAATCTATTTCTGGCTTAATTCAGTGAACGGAATAAAATTTTAATATCGTTAATTGTTACCCAATTGTTAATAAACGAGAGATCAAATTGCGAAATACATTTCGCGTGATAAAAAATCGCTTTATTGGTACGCCAGATTGAAATGATTTATTGGTTCTCGTGTGCTCTTCAAAGTACGAAATATTATTAATTAGTACCGTTTATCAACAGCAAAATTTTACGTCACTAATGAATTACAGAAATCGCAGCTGTAATTAACAGTATATAATTAGCAGTATGAAATGTTATTTCAGGCTTGTTGAAATATACAACTACGAATCTGGGTTAATATAGCCTGAAATGTCTGTGCTTTATTTTTTCATTTAAAAATGTCATTAATTTTTGTTCGTGAACATTTTTCGGAAATTATTCAAATTTTTTAAATTTCACGACTGGAATTTGCATAGTATTTAATATTATTAGAATTACGGAAATGTAAAGTATTGATGATCTTTAATGCTTTGCGAATTTGAAACTTACCTTAGCATCCACCTTCACAAATTCACTGGAACTATATTCTGCGACAGCTTCTCTTGCAATCTGATAACCTTAAAATAACGAGGACCAATTAATGATTAAGTCAATCAATTATGTTCAGTATTTCTGTTTCATATAAGTTCTATATCGTTCTACTTCTTCAAATATTTTATCCCAGTAGTGGTTATGATCGCTGATATACTTTTTAGAAAAAAACACGAATTAACTGACTTCCAAGAAATTAGTTACTCTGACTTTCTATTTATTATTAAAATATTAAAATATAAAGTAATTAATACTTTAGGTATGATTTTTATAAAATTAGAAGAATGGTTTTACTTTTTATGTAATTATATTTATCTATTTCCTTACTTTAAATTGATGGAAATTAAATAAGAAAGTTTCTAGGAGCATTATGATTGTTGTGAAAAAATTTATTTATCGAGCGTCATGAAACATTAATGAAAATAAACAGTGAAATATATGTATAAATTTCATTAATGAATACTTCCAAGTAAGACAATATTCAAACTATTAATAAGTGACAATAAAACAAAACAGTACAAATCTAATTTTGTATTAAGTTTATATGAACCACGGATGCAGAGGTTTCATTGTATGTGTGTACAATTAAATATCGTTACTTTTTCAATGTCATCATTTTATATTCAAGCAAAATTGATTTACAAGTACCTTACAGAATGTTTTTCTTACACGAATATAAATTTCCTGCTTTTATTATTATTTCATTAATATTACCTGTACTTGGTGCATATCCGTTGTACATTTGCGAACGGAGACTCTCTTGGACAGCGTTAAATACTTCTTTGGGTGGTTTCAAATTGCCAAAAGTTGTTGGATCACCTAAAAATGAAAAGTGTATGAAGAAGGCTGATATGTGTATTTCTTGAGAAATTAATCTTAAATTGGACTTGTGATTCACGGATCTTAGAATTTCTGAATTTTATTGATTTCGTAACTTGAGAACTGTTTGATGTTTAGAATTTGACATTTTCATAATATTGCAATTTTTCAAGTTTTAGACTTTGCAATTTTATAATTAAAAATTTTTTAATTTTTTAACTTTGGAATTTTATAATTTTAGAATACGTACATTTTTAGATTTTGGAATATTGTAATTTCAGGAGACATACATTTTTAGATTTTGGAATTTTGGAATTTCAAAATTTCAGACTTTTTTTAACTTTTGAGATGTTGGAATTTTGGAGCTTTCAAATTTAACAACTTTAGAACTTCGTGCATGTTTCTGGAAATTTTAAAGTTTCAAAGTCTTTGAATTTTTAAGTTTGTCAAGATTAAAACTTTGAATTTCTGAAACAATAAAAATGTAGAATTTTTGAATTTTGTATCTTGTGGACTTTGAAATTTTTGTAATTTTAAATTTTAAAACTTTGATGCTTTCAAATTACTAAACTTTGGTACTATGGATTTTTTAATTTTAGAAGTTTGAAAAATTGTGATCCATGATAAGTTCGGTAACAGAGAATTTTTTTTTCCAAAATATTAATTCAGAAAAAATATTTTTAAAAAATTCAGAAAAGCAAAATTATTTTCTTTTGCTTCTTCTATTGTTGCGTGTCCAATTAAACTCCTCGATAGACACATGCTCCACTTATGAGCACAATTTATAATTCACAGTTTGTAATTGTCATGAAACATGTCATACATTAGAGATGCTTAATTAGTATGCAGCGAGACGTTGATGGAAAGTCTCGTTTGCTATGAAGATTTTAAATAATTAAGAAACTTGCTCGATTACCGTCAATTTGCCTGTCAAGAATGACTATTACGCCATATGGTGACGTTAGTCTAGAGATCTACCAACTGCTATAATCTCTTTAAGGGCAAGGATAATATTATAATTAAATTTTCATCTTTGATGGGAATCATTCATTCTCGAGAAAATGTTGAAGTCTGATGAATTATTCAAAACAAGTAGGAAATCGTAATAGCTACTATAATTTGAATCTTCATTATCGATTTTATCCATTATGTAGTGTAAAGCGATAATCGTAGTGCAATCAGAAAAGAAATAATTTTTTAAATAAAAATTTTGCATTATTTTAAATTACTTAAATGTCTTCAACATCTTGTGATGTCAGTGCTGCGCATGAAAACATCTTTGAATCAAAATTGATATATATCTGAAAAATATGTAAACACCTGGAGATTTGAAGTATATCTTATTGTTAGTACATAAGTAGCAAAATTTTATATATAAACAAAGACAATCATGTTAATTTGCATTTCTGTTATATTTATATCATTGAATAGAAACCATTAAGTTTCATAATGTTTAACTGTTTGTAAATGATAAACCAAAGTTACACTTTTTAACGAAATTATTAAATATTTCTTTTATATAGCTCATCATAGCACACATTTAACCGACTTCGAAGAAGGAGGAGGTTACTCAATTCGATCAGTATATTTTTTTTTTTTTTTCTTCTATGTATGTTCGCGCATTACGTCTAGCTGGATGGACCGATCGGAACGAAACCTTTTGCATATGGTAGGTGCTGACTCCCCATTGGTACCATTATCAAAAAATTTTTAACTTTTTAATTGCAAAGTGTTGTTATTGCAAAAAA